TGCCTTTTTGCTACTCCCACGCTCATTCTCTGGAGTCTTCATGACCGTCGATCGGCATTAGCGTGTTGGATTAAGTTTACGTGTGCACGAGTGGGCCCGGCATCTGTTGGCAACATTTTTTGGGGTCAACAATAACTTCCTCCAGGATTTCTATAACATTACAAAATGAAAGTGTCGTAGGAACTTCCTTACTGGTGCACTGTTCTATCAGCCTGCAAAGGACAAGAACATCTTTGCTATTGCACTTTTCTAAACCTTACAAAAAGTTAAAAGTGATTAAAAGTAACATTTTATTTTCCAATTATGTATCAATTGTTAAATGCTTTCTATTATGTTGCCATGTGAAATTCAGGTTAAGAGCACATGACAAGAAGATACCCGTAAAGGGGGGAAAAAATGAACAAAAGAAGTGTCAAATGAACAATAGTGTTATCTTACTGAATGATTCTTCCAGGGCATCGACTCATACTGAACTTCTTTTCAAATTCAACAGACTGGAGATTCATATTCTCAGAGTTCATGTTGGTGTGCTTGCCCACCAGCATCTGCAGTATTTATAGGTCAAGAATTGAAAACAACACTGAAATAATTGAGTGTGACTTAATTTTTACTGCTCTATATAGCAAATATTTAACTGATCCTTATTCCTTCACATTCAAATTTAGGGTATGTTTAATAGATAACTGGATTTGTTTAGACGTAAAATTGGCCGCTGATGCCACCCGGCCCCGGCTTCCAGTTGTTGAAATTAAGGACAGGGCAGGCTGATCCACGTGACTAGGTGGTCTGGACACCCAGCCCCGGAACAGATAACTTCAACACCTACTATTTATTTATAACATAAAATTTCATTGGGAAAAGGATAACTTGAGTACATATGACAAATATAAAGCTAGCAAACAGCAGACATCGTCAAATGAATGCATACATTTTATATACCTGATAAAATATAATACCAAAAGAGCGAATGTCTTTCTTAGTATCATTTGGTGAGTTGTTAAGGATGTCACTTAATTGGGCTGCGAGAAAAAGAAAAAAAATAAGGAAGAAGAATCACTACAAAGGCATGACCATTAAAGCAAACTCTAAACGGGAGACTGCATTACTCTCTTGATTTGGGTGTATTCTCTCGTACAACATATGGATCCAATATTCACCGATCTTCAAGTGGTCGCCTTCATCAAGCAACAAGTTCCTGGGACAAAGTGAAAAAGAAAAGGGGTTGATGTGGAATGCTAAAATCCACAAGGGTTTTTAAAGCAGGAGGCAAAGATGAGAGGCAGGGCTTATGCCTTCAGTGAATCTGTGTATGTTTGCTATTGAAATATTGAACATGACTACTGTCAAGTATTATCCAATACTCGATACCAAACATGCCACTGGTATATTGCTTAACGACGAAAATGGAACAAAAAACTTACCACGTATAACATCTGTACTGACATAATTGAGACTCGTGTTTTGACACAAGAACATAGCTCATATAATGCCAAAACGTGAAGTTAATCATCAGTATAAGAAGTCTGATGGAGGAAAAAATCTCCATATGTAGACAAAAGTATGAATTGTGATCAAAGAGAAATTTTAGTTAACAACTGACATAGTAGCAGAGCTTAAACTTGTTAAGACCAATGAAGAATTTAGCAAGAAAAAGCTCACCGAAGATGCAAATTATTGTGAACTATGGAGCAAGGCTTGTGCTGATGAAGATAATTCATTCCCCTGTAATTGATTTAACATATGTTGAACTGCTTCAGTAGTGACAAGCAAGTAGTATTAGTGGTAACACAATTGACCACCAAGTTTCAGATAAAAAAGAGATTCAATTTTTAAAGTCGGCCACGATTCCATATATATTCTCTCATTTGATCCTTTATCTGGTAGTACAATGATTCTTTAAGGACTCTATATAACAAACACTTAGATGGTGTTTGGTGGGGATTAAAATTAGAGTTTTAGTAGATTATGATAGAAGTTTTTGAAATACGTGGTTGAAAATTTATGGGACTTATGAAAAATGTGGTTAATATTGATTGTTTGACTTTGATTAAAATTTGATTTTAATTTGTACCAAATAGGCCCTTAATACGGCCCTGAATAAAACTCAGACTTCATTTTTGGATAGAAGGTGTAAGAGACAAATGCTAAGTGCCAAAACGAGGAATCTATAATATTAGAATAACTGAAAGCAAACAATAAGTTGTTCTGTCATGAATAATTAAGTATACCAAAGAATATACATATTAGTTATCAGTCTTTTGTCTTAAGGGTAAAAAATAGAACTGGAAATGTAGCACGTTACCTAGCAATATCAAGTGCATAGCGTAGACAAATTGCAGGATCAAGACGAACCTTTCTACCTAAAATATCATCCAAGTTCCCCTGACATAAAAAAAGAAAAAGAAATAACAGATATTATATTGACCAAGACAACTATTAACTGCCGTTATTGGCGACTCATTCGAAGATCGTGAATAACATTCATAAAGCAATTAATATACCTTTGGTAAATACTCTGTAATCAAGATCATCTCTTCACCTTGTACAATTGACCCAAGAAACTGCAAAATATTTGGATGTCGAAGTTCCCTGAGAAGAGTATTATCTTTTGCAGTCAAAACCCTACATCAGTTTTGAACTAATATCATATCAATACTTAGAACCAATCATTTAGTACTGCCGAATCCATTACATAAATTTAAATAAACTAACATTTTCTCAGGTTGATATATGTGTCTCGAGAAAACTGTTTTCATCACCCAAGTTCCACGCCACTTGACCTTTTCCGAGACACCAAATAGCCCCTGACAAACGACAAAAGCAAAATTCCTGTAAATGAGAGAACTTCATGTTTCATTTGATGCATAAACACACATACACACACAAGAAGGAAATAATATATTTCAAATTTTCCAATTAAGCTGGTATAAGTTAGCTTACCGAAGATCAAATGCCACCAAGCTGGCTATTAGCCTATTACAATATTTCAAATTGAGTTCTAAAGGTATAGACCTGTCGTCTTTGATGCATATACCTGCTCTATTGCTGATGATCGATATGAAGTCAATTCAGAGATGTCGATGTCCTCCAGCGAATCATTTTCATGGCGAACTGGCTGCATAATAGGAAATAAGTGTAACTGTGTAAGTACTAATCACAAAATCTCACTCATAACACAAGTGATTTTGCACTAACCAATGACTAAAGACAAATAAGAATACTGTGGATACATCAAGTTTTAGAACAATCTTGTCAACTGGAAAGAAGAAGTGCCTGAAGGAATAACCAGTTGTGATGAAAATTTAGAAATTACCATTGGTTGATCTTCTACATATTCCTTGCCTCCATTGCCTTCAAGGATCTTGCATATATCTCGATGTCCATACAACCTTGCATCTGCTAATGGCTGATATTAACAATCAAAAAGTGACCAAATTATCATTCCTCAAATAAATGAATTCGTCTATATTATGATATCACCAATTAGATATAAAATGATTTTCTCTAATCCTAAAAAACTGCTGCAGTATGGATAGCCATAGTTAGGCAATTTGGCTCCAAAACCTTGGCATGCCCGTATATTTAGAACACCATAAGATTTAAACTTCCAACTTAATTGCCAAATTATTAATCGAGATTATTGATTGATACAGAATTGATGCGGCTGTTATTTTCATGGTTTAAGATCTATATTCCTTGTTCACCAAAAATTAACAACTTAAACTATTGCAAAAAAGAAAAAGATTTTGTTTTCCCCATGATACAAAATCAACTGTGACATAAATCCTAGTCCTAGCACATCAAAAACATTTAGTTACTGTCTAAGGCTATTCTTAAATATATAAAAAATGTTCCTTTCTAAGAGCTTAAGCTTCTAATTGACATGGTTCAACATGGTAAATTAGGGCGTCAAGTCGTATGGGCGTTCATAGGTTCTGAATTCAAGTCTAGCCATCAATTTATGAAGATTATGCACCTATAAGGCTTTTGATACTAAAATTGTAGAATCCCAGATTTCCAATACATAAATTTCGGACATCATTTTTTAAAAATTATACTTACAGTCTTTTGCCAACGGTCTTGAAGGTTAACATCAACGTCGTATGCCAAAAGAAGCTCGACAATGGAGGCGTGGCCTTCACTGGCAGCAAGATGAAGTGCAGTTCTCTTATCATAGTCCTGCACGTTGGGAGATATTCCTTCCCTTAACATCTGGTTTAATCCAACCCTATCCCCCCTCGAAGCAAAACTCAGGAAATTTCCGATCAGTTGCATGTCGAATCCATCTGCAGAATCTCGGAGGAAATGCCTCAGACTTGACATTTTGGCGCCTCAAAAACAAAGGATTCAAATGGGAAATGGGATTTTACGTAAAGGGAAGATAATTTTGTATTGACCCACTGGATAACTTCTGAAACTTGGGGAAGAAATGTTATATAAATCTGTGACGGTGGCGGGGCGTTAAGGTCGAAGGCGGAGGCTTGGGTTTAACGACCACCTTGTTCAGTTGTTTGTCCATGTCCAGTGTGATCCATACAACAAACTATTAATTAAATAGACAGAATCCGTCCATAAATACACCCTTTAAATTTAGGGGGATTTTTCAAGATGGCCTATGAATAGTAATTTTTTAAGATTTTTGTTAAAAGGTCAATTTTACCCTTAATGAAATGTGGTATTTATTGCAAAACGAGTCCTTAAACTTTTTATTCTTATTT